ACCTGACTTCTGAAGCTCACAGAAAAGAACCTCAGAGTCAACACTAGTATAGACTCCCTGAAGTACCCCAGCCTCGTGATGAGGCTCCTCCATCCTATTGCACAAGCTCCATCTTGAGTCTCTCTCCTTCTAAGGTTTTAAGAGATCCAAAGCTTACGTAGGGAATAAATATGTGGAGACTGTGCTCCCTTACAGAAAAAGGTTTAGAAAAAGGTACAGGTCAGAGTGCTAAAAACCATTATGGGTTAAGTAGGGTTTTTCTCTGTGGGCCTGAATTGATAACCTGTCATTTGAATATTAGCCGTATGGGGGAAATGTGTTCTGATTTCCAAACAATGAAAGTGTATAGGGATTTTAGAAGTACAATTCAATGGAAGGTTCCCTTTTAATGCTTCTTGAGTTATAGTGGTGTTAGTTAATTTTTAAAGGACAATTTCCCCATTTATATTTTAAAATATGTATATAGGTATGCATAAAAACAAGATATTGAATATTCACCAAGATGCTAATAATAATTATCTATAGATGGTAATATTATAATTGATACTTTCTTCTCTATATATTTTCCAAAATGAGAAAACTATGAAGATTTTTCATTTCTTAATAGAGCAAACAGGATTGAAAAATGAAATTTAATATAAGATTAAAAAACTTTGTAAATATTTAGATATAATTTCACAATAAAAGAATTACAAGATTTCTGTGCTGAAAAAATATACAGTATTGCTGAGAGGTTTGAAAAAAAAAAAAAAAAAGCACCTAAATAGAGATAAACATGACCATGGGTTGATATACTCATATTGTCAAAACGTCAATTCTCTCCAAAGTGTTCTATAAAGTCATCACTAGCTAAATCAAAATCTTGAGGGGTGTTTTTGTAGAAACTGATTCTAATAATACATGTGGAAAAACAAAGCAGCTAGAATAGTAAAAGCAATTTTTGGGGAAAAAAAAAAGAACAAAGTTGGAAGACTTAATCCTAGTCTACCTAATTTCAAAATATAAAGCAATAATCAAATGAAATAGTATTGACAAAAGGATAGGCAGATAAATCAATGAAACAAAATAGAGAAGTCTGGAAATAGACTCTCATTTGTAGGGTAAAAAGACTTTCAACAAAGGTGACAGAAAAATTCAGTGGGGTTGGAAGGATGGTTTTATTCAGTAATCAGTTCTATGAGAACTGGATAACCATCTGTGCAAAAACAGTTCAAACACAAAACATTAGCTTAAGATGTATCCATAGACTTAAATACAAAAGCTAAAACTATAAAGCATTTAAGAGGAACTAGGAGAAATTTTTTATGATGAAGAATAGGCAATGATTTTTTCGACCAGACAAAGTCCTAATCATAAATGAGAATATTGATAAACTGGACTTTTATCAAAATCAAACACTCTGCTCATCAAGAGACACTGTTAAGAAAATAAGTAAGCAGTCTAAAGAGTGGGAGAAAATATTCATAACACATAGATTAGGCAAAATACTTACATCCAAAATACATAAAGTACATCTATAACTTAATGATTAAAAGACAAGCATACTTTAAAAATGGGCAAAAGACTTGGAAATGCCATGAAGGATGACATAGAAATAGCCAATAAGTGCATTAAAATATGTTCAATTCATTAATCATCAGGGAAATGCCAATTAAATCACTGATAAGCCACCATGCATCTACTAAAATGACTTAAAAATCTAAAAGATTGATAACATCCAATATTGGCAAGAGTGTGTAGTAGCAAGAATTCTCATAATTGCTGCTGAGTATAGTATATGGAATGGGACAATCTTTCTGAAAATTTGCCTTACTTCTTATAAAGTTAAATGCATATTTACTCTATGATCTAGCAGTCCCACTCATAAGCATTTATCCAAGAGAAAAATTTTAAAATGTGTTCAGAAAATACTTGTGCCATATTCATAACAGCTTTATTCATCATAGCCAAAAAGCTGGAAACAACTCAGTTAGGAGGCTCTTCCTACCTACCTGTCTATTGTCATCTTATATGAATCATCTTACCCCTCCAACCCTTTCACTTATGCTCTCAGAACACAACACTCCCTCCCCTGTTCATGCCTCTAAAATGGACAGGGAAGCCTGGTGTGCTGCAGTCCACGGGGTTGCAAAGAGTTAGATACGACTTAGTGGCTAAACAGCAACAACAACCGCCCAGAACCCCCTCTTCTGCTATTCCTGTTCTCCTAGGATCAGTCTGTATTCTCTGAGTTGCCTTCCTTCACTCCTCTGTAATCTTGCTTGCTTTCGCTTAGGAACCTGGAATGATCATGCTGCATTATAATTTTTTATGTGCATGTTCATCTTCCCTACAAGTTCGTAAACTTCTATCTTCATGTATCTCTTGCACCTAGCATTGCATCTAGCATACAGTACATATTAAAAGAACATTGAAGTATATGATAGACTCTAACTTATGCTGCATAAAATACTGAAATATATACTTGTCATTTACCTTTCTTTCCAAATGCAAGTAAGTTTCATAATAAGGATTGCCAATTGAATACTCTCTGGTATGACCCTCTATACCTTAAGCAGTGCCTGTAGGAACATTAGTCAGCGTTTGTACTGTGCCAGTTACTACAAGTTCTCATTGAATTTTACCTGTTGCTCTTAGCCCTTTCAATTCTTTGATGATTTACACACTAGTGGAGGATTCTTAAGTAGATGATCCTCTGAAAAGAGTGCTTTTTACTTTTTAATAGTGGCCTTGGCATGTAGGTTCTTAGTCACTTATAACCTACATATATCCAGAGGAAATACTACCTTTTAATAGTAGATACTTTCCTAGAGATGGTTTCTTTGTTGTGGAGGGCTGTGCAATGTATTGCATAATATTTAGTAACATCCATAGCTTCTACTCAGTAGAAGCCAGGACCGCCAAATTACAGCTACCAAAATTGTCTCCAGGCACTGCCAAATGTTCCTTGAGACCTACCCTCACCCCTAGTTGAGAAGTGTCCCTGGAATTAGACAGACCTTGATGCCGAGGGATCCAGGTTAGACTATTACTTCTCTAAACTTCTTAATCTATAAAATGTGAATTGTAGGTAAAATCATGAAATAATTTTAATAGACCAAATGATTACTGGTTGTCTTTAATTGAAAGCAAGCCATATGCATCTGACATACCCTTCTCAGTTATCTGATTCTCTGGAATCTCTCACTTTTTGTTGTCTTTGAGCTACTGTAAACGATGACTGGGCTTCCCTGCTAGCTCAGTTGGTAAAGAATTTGCCTGCAATGCAGGAGACCCCAGTTTGATTCCTGCGGTGAGAAGATCCCCTGGAGAAGGGATAGGCTGCCCACCCCAGTATTCTTGGGCTTTCCTTGTGGCTCAGCTGGTAAAGAATCCGCCTGCAATTCGGGAGACCTGGGTTTGATCCCTGGGTTGGCAAGATCCCCTGGAGAAGGGAAAGGCTACCCACTCCAGTATTCAGGCCTGGAGAACCCCATGGACTATAGTCCATGGGGGTCTCAGAGAGTCAGACATGACTGAGCGACTTTCACTTTCACTTTCAAACTATGACTTGTAGGAAATTAATAAAAAGGTAATTCTTGATGATAAAAGCCCAAACTGTATCTGGCCATGCGATCAATTACAATATTTACCTGTGGCTATTAGCCCATTTTTCCTGTTTTTGCATTTGTTTTAAAATTTATCTCAACATACATTATTTGACCACATATGTGTGGTGGGTTACCCAGGTAGTACAGTAGTGAAAAATCGGCCTGCGAAAGCAGGAGATGTGGGTTCCAGCTCTGGGTCAGGAAGATCCCTTGGAGGAGGAAACGGCAACACACTCCATTATTCTTGCCTGGGAAATCCCATGGACTGAGGAGCCTGGCAGGCTACAGACCATGTCACAGAGGCAGACACTACTGAGTGAGCACACACACACACACACACACATGTGTGGTATTGTGAATTTTCTTTGAATCCACTGCAACATCTTAGTGACTATATTTTTAACTAATGAATTAAATGAAACCTCTAACATGTGTTAAAAGAAAAAAAGAGGTGATTGCTTCTACTGTGATTCACTCGTTCTTTAGGAGATGAAAACATGAGACACTTGCCTAAAAACCTTCGAGAGGAAAGGTTTTCAAAATGTAAACTACTCAAGAAAAATCACTCCTTTCTTGATTCCTTACAATGCCTATAATTTTTGTATGCATTAATCAAGGGGAATAAAGTGAGTGCTTTGGAAGAAATGGCACTGTCTATAATGCTACTTAGATTCTCTAAATTCCTTGTTTTTGTTGTAGACATCTACTAGTTCAAATGTCAATCCATGCTATATAACACTTAACCCAGTTGGTGACAATATCTGGAAAATTATCCCAGACTTCCACTGAGACACATCTGCCTCATTATTTGCAGAACCACAATGTATTTCATAGGTTGATAGATGTCATATTTCCTATGGGAGATATTAGTTATAAAAGCCAGTTTTTGTGGTTTTCCTTGGTGGCTCAGATGGTAAAAAAATCTTCCTGCAATGCAGAAGACTTGGGTTCAATTCCTGGGTCTGAAAGATCCCCTGGAGGAGGGAATGGCAACCAAGGCCAGTATTCTCGCCTGGAGAATCCCATGGATAGAGGACCCTGGCGGGTTACAGTCCATGGGGTTGCAAGGAGTTGGACACAACTGAGCAATTAACACACGCACACACCTCCCCCATAGTGTTTCATTTTAGCCTACTTATTGAAGTGAAGTGTCTCTATTGCTAATAAGGGTTCAGAAGTGTGGAAAATTTACTGGAACTCTAAAAGCACTGTCCCGAGATCTAGGAGAAATTGACTGGTTCTTTCTAGCTTCCTACCCCTAACTTGTATGTGACCTTGGGGAAGCTCTTGGATCTTCCTGAATTTCCCATGCCCTGTCTCTGATTTGATTAGAAAGCCTTAGGTTATTTTTAGCATCAAGATTCTATGACATCATGGTTCCATCTCTATGAGTGTTCTCTTGAGAACAAAGTAGAATCAATATTTTCAGGGGAACACAAGTACAGAAAAAATATGTTGCATTGCCAAGTTCTCCCCCTCCCAGGTTATGACACCTTCTGTTACTTTTGACTGGGCTCTACCCTCCTTCTTCGGTCCAGTAACAGGGCTGCCGTCTGGGAACTGACACTCGGGCTCCAGGTCCTCCCCGGGAACAGCCCCAGCAAGGCACTTTACCCTCGGCTTCTCACTCTACATGGGTGAGTCTCTTTGAGAACATCTTAAAGAAATATTCCCTCATCACTGTGGACAAAGGGGTTTTTATTGTTGGGGTATCCCATTATTCTCAAGCTCAGGGATTCCTCCTTTACTGTTTCCCTTCCCTCTAATTCCTTTTCCACCATCGGCTCCTCTTTCATGGCTGCATCTTTCTTCCTACAGTGTTGCGGGATAGGTCAGCAGCTGCAGGAGAACTTGATTAGTGCCTCGCCTCTGAGCAGATGCATTTCCCTGACAGCATCGATCCTGGGTGCTTTGGCTTTGCAGGCAGCTCCACAGAGGAGGAGCTTGGACTGCAAAGGAGGTGGACTATTGTCTGTTCAAGGTGAGTATGGGGCAGGCGACTAATTCGTTTCTCTTTGCTCAGCTGTGAATTTTGCTTAAATAAGACCTGCTTGAGAATTTTTATTTAAAATCCACTGCCTGGCTGAGACCTTGTGATGGCAAGATTCAAAGACAATTTTTTATTGCTGTTATTAGTCCTTTGAAAGAAGGAAAATTTGATGCTTAATATTTAAACAGTTTCTATTTTGCTGAATTCTTTGATATCTGAATGTGAACTGGGTAACCATTTAATGTCCATTTCTAGAGACTTTTCCAGATATTGAAAGCCCTACAGGAATTTATTTGTAATGCTCTTGCATGAAAAGTTGCCATTCATTTCTTGCCATGGTGGCCATTGCCAGAAGATATGTTCATTAGGGATGAAATAAAGAAATATTTTATATTTTGATGCATTTCAATTTGTCCACAGTGCTAGTCTGTTTTTGAGGATAGGAATCTTGAAATCCTTTCATCTTGAAAATGTTATTGCTCCTCTAGATTTTGGAAAAATTTAATAGTATTTAGCACAGGGAAATTATCTGTGGGCAAACAGGATAACTCCAAGCATTTTTATTCCCTTTTATTTTTTATTTTTTTATTCCTTTTTATTTTTTCCCTTGATTTTTGTTTTGAGGTTCAGGAGTCATTGAAAAAAACTGGCACAAATGTGCCTGGGTGTAGATCTGACTAAGGGCTCACTTTTTCCATGCATTTTAAGGACATCCCCACCTTTAGGGAACCTGTGCCTCCCTTAGCCAAAATTCCAGCTTCACAAAACCCTTAGCCAAAATTCCAACTCCACAAAAGCATCACATGACATTTCAAAGGCATATTCTACTACTTGTATAAAGCTGAACTACAGTTATTGAATAACCCAAAATAATCTATTCAACTTATTCTTTTCATGGTATCTGTAATTCCTACAAGTTTGTATCATATAAATATAAGAAAATGTATTCACAAGCTTCCAGGGGAGTAGAGTACTGACCGTTAGGTACAACACCAAAATGTGGTATTATGAGAGGAAGCCAAAAACGGCTGTGGTTTCAAATTAGCAACTTCATCCATGAGTGTTAATTGTGAATTAAACTGTAGATAAAAACTACCACCACAGCAACCTTCTTCCAAAACTTGTGTCCATTTCCGTGGACAAAGAGACAGCCTATATATGGTAGAAAGGCCAAGGGGCTTTGGTATCTAGTCTTGGGTCCTTCATGTCCTTTGTCAGATGACCATCACCAAATCTTTCTGCCAGTTGGCCACAGCTTCCTTAGGTATAAGGTGGGGATAGATAATTCCAGATCAAAGGAGACTATATGAAACATTCCCCAAACTATAAAGTCATATTCACATACTTTTCATTTATTATTGGAGATGTGTTAGTAATACTTGCTTCACTCAGAGCCATTTTCTCTAGAAACTGCCCAATTGCCCATATGGTAACCCTTCCTAAGGAGGTAGGCATAGCAATCACATTTGTGCCTCCCTTCCTGGTGACACTGGTGGACACCTGATCAAGGACATGAACGGTGGTGACGAATCAGATCTCTCAAAATTAAAGAGACTCGAAAGTGTCCTTAGATGGCAATCTGGGATCATTACAAACTGGGATCTATGGTGACCATTTTCAGCCATGAGCATGCCGATGCATAGGCAGAGAATGCTGGAGAATGAAGTAGACATACAGAAAGAAACAAAAACAGTAAATTGCATGCTCACAGGGGTGACAAAGGAAGTACCTGATCTCATTCTTAATCCAGCATATGGGCTGAACTTTGATTTTTTTTCCCCCAGGATGACCATAAGATGGCCCATTTTAATGTCACAAAAGATTCCCCTTGAGTGGCTTTCTCTTCCTGACATCGAGTAGAACTTTAGCTAAGACATTAACATTGTAATTGAAAGGTCATTACCAAGAATACCAAAAAATTTGAAGATTTTATTGTACCAAAAGCAAAAGTTTCCAGCTGTCCTTTGTAGCTACCAAGATGAAACTCTTTCCAGATATGTCTTTCCAGCTATAAAATGCAGACTGCAACATGGAAGATTCAAGAACAGGTTCAATTTGCAGCACATAAATTTACTAACTAGATTTGAAAATGTAATTTAACAATATGAAGTGTAACCCTCCAAATGAATTCTCTCCCTTTTAGTCCTCCCTAAATGAAACTTCAGAATTCACAGACGGCACCACAGGATAATAAAAATAGCATAAATTTTGAAGGTAGTCTCAGATGGAAGTTCTGGCTCCTCTATAAATTTGGTTTAGTTACTTAACTAAATATTTTAAATTTAAATAAATAAATAATTTATAGGATCTATAAATTTGGTTAAGTTATTTAACTTCTCTTAGCCTCAGTTTCTTCATCTATACATTAAGAATAACAATATTTCCCTTTCAGTCTGTTGTAAGGAATAAATGAGATAATTTATAGGAAGAGTAAATATTAGTTACTCAACAAATGTTTGTCTCCTTCTTCCCCTCACTCACCATGTAACTCCTATTTTTTTTTAATAACAAACCACATAATATAACTCCAAATTAATAATCTGAGTGTGGAAACTAGAAGGAAAATAAGCTCTTTTTGATTTCTTGGTCCAGTCAGCTAGAAAGTTTCTTACATTATTTTTAAAAAGAAAAAACATGTAGGGCTTAAAATCAGACTTTAAGCAGAAGGGATTTTAATTCAGACATGCACATTTCGGTCAACAAATTAGTTTTTCCGTGTAGTAACATATGATGCTAATACATGTCCAAGACAGTGTGTGCATGTGTCTACATGTACTAGCAGGACCCAGCCAACAGAGTGGTTTAGTTCATTGCATAAACCCAAGATCGACTTGTTAAGCATATCTGCTCATTTGCATGAAGAAAGCTAGAAAGCTTCACCCACTGGGCACACTGCTTCAATATTCAGTAATAAAATCTATTAAGCCCATAAGTCATTATTTAGCTTAGGAGAGGAATATTCTTGACAAGGAAGTCCTGTGAGAAATGTAGTACATGATATCATAGGAAATGATTTCTAGGGGATGGTGATGAGTCTAACCAAATCATTTCAGATCACTCCAGCCCAGTCAGTCCATGGAACACAGTAGAAAACCATATGCATTCATAAAAATGTCTGATTCTGCATGTAATAGATACAGCAAATAATATCCTAGAAACCAGACTTCGGTGACTATGATCAGTTTACAGTCTAAGGTTTAAATTGCATGTTTTCAAAGGAGAAGCACAAAAAGAGAGCAGGAGGACCATGCACTACTAGTTTCATACGTGAATAATTATTCCTTAAGTAACCTGACAAGAAAACATTCAAGAATCACAAATACTTTTCTAAAGGTACTGTCTCTAGCCTCTCTCCATCCATCTATGTCTAGTCTTGGTGCCAGGCCCAAATAACCTGAAAGTGGATAGAAAATACAGAAAAATATTTATATTGTAAAAGAAAAGCTTTATTAAATGTGAGTTACAATATCAGCTATATCCTAATATTCTAATTATATTCTTATGTTAATATTCTTTTGTGGTTGTGGAAAACCATACTTTCATAAAGAATAGGAACAAAGCACTTCTATTTATATTATTATTCCTACTCTGTGTTCATTATATGCTAATTCAACATCCAAAGGAGAGGTATCAACAATGACAAATCAAGTTTAAACAGGTTATTTAAATTGGGAAATTTGATAGCATACCAAAATTAATAAATCATAATCCTCTAGTCCATAGTTTTTTTTTTACCAGTCTCTGACTATTTAAAGTCAATTTAGAAAAGTTTTCAAGCAACTACTCTAAACCTAACTCCCTTTTCCATTTGCTATCTGATTAGTGTTTAAATAAGTTTATGATATAAGAGCATCAGGACTCTCTAAAAGAGCACTCCCCCTCCAACCCCCCCAAACCCCTCACTAATTTAGGTTAAAAACAAAGTAATGGCAGCAAAAGTGTCTTTAAGTTTTGCAATAATCCTTCCAGTACTTTTGCATCCCAAAAGGCTCCAGATGTGACCAGCCACTGCAAAATGGTAAGTTGTTTATCAGCATTCTACGCTGGGAACTGGCACCTGTAATTTTACTCTTATTTTGCATCAGCATTATTAAAACACCTAAAAAATGACCAAGTGAAGGTTTTGTGTAATCACACAGATACCTTCAGGGTGAGATGCCCTGTTGGCTGTCTGCGTCCAGAAGGTGTGCCGGCTCTAGCCAGCAGCTTCCTTCTCTGTCGTCTGGATAGCCGCTCTGAGCCTCCTTGGATAGGGAGTTTGTGCTGGTAGCTGGAGCTGGAAAATAATGGTGAAATGTGGTTCTGGCAGCCTTGAAAGAATCGATTGTTGATCACTTTTGATAATGCAAATACTCACAATCCTTCTCTTTCATTCATTTTTTTTTCTTTCTCTCTTTCCCCTTACTTGCTGTTAATAGTCCTTTGTAGCTAAAAAAAGAGGCCCCTTATCCACCTCAATCCAGGGTGAAGATTTAAGAAATAAACATAGGTGAATCATGTGATGACAATTAACCACTTTGTTGAGCCAGAGATCCCACTTCACCCTTACCTTCTCTTTTTAACCTCGGGGCTCTGTTACATCTTGCCTACAGTTTTCCTAGCTGCCTGCTTCAGCCTGCTCCCATCTTACCAGTGGTTTAGAAACATGACAAACTACCTTTTGCTTGCTGGCACTTTAACAATGCAGATTCTTGGAACTTAACTTCTGCTTAACTGCCGATTCCTGACCTCGTGTGGCAACAGGCTGTGATTTGGTACTGCCGTACAGTCAACCCAGACTTGAAGTTTGCTTTCCAAAAGTTTCTTTTTTTGAGCCTATGAAATGATTTCCCACTCAGATGCTTCAAAATGGATCATTTTTAAAAGTCCTCTTTGGCAAGATCTTCACATACATGTTAAAGGGAGATAAAACGAGTGGGGAAACTGAGGAGCAGAGGGTTTAAGGGACTCACCTGGGATTGCAGAGTGAGTTATCACCAAGCCGAAGTTGG